AAATAATATAACTCAAATATGTATATAAAGGCTCCAATTTTGCCTAGGAATTGGTAGGCTTGAACATATATTTTATCAAATAAATAACTTGACCTTTACAAAAACAAATCACCATTGCCTTTTTTGCCTGACCTCATACACCTCAGAACTGTATTAATTTGTACGCCTCTAGGAACTTTAGCATACCACATTGGTCTTGTCCATCTAAAGTGCCTCCCTGCTACTAGTTATCCGTCTTTATCTTTCTCCTAAAGTAGAAACGATATATGACAACACCAACACAAAATCAAAAGGGTCCCAAGACTTTCTCATTACTGTAATTGAAAAGAAAAGTACAGATCTCAATAATTTTTGAAGATAAACAATATCCATTACGTGATCAAATTTTTGCTGGAGACAAAAAATCAGAGACAGGTTATCCCCTCCAAAAGATTAACAGTAATGCAAACACGTACTTTTCAAAGTCAAAGAATATTAACAACTGTCAAACATACAAACACAGCAATCTAAAATGTGACACATGTACACAACAAATCCAAAGTTTACTAAAGTTAACTCACTCCCAAAACAAGATCTGCAGTAGCACGAACACGTTATTGCTACAAACAAAGCAACAAGACATAAACAGGACTTATCAAAATGAGCAGATTACAAACAACTTGGCATAACACATGTTAATTTCAATCTTATATACCAAAAAGGGACAACTATATCATGCAATAAGCTGTTTCAAGCAAATTAACATGTACTAAACAAACAGCAAATTAAGCCAGCTCATACGTGCCAACCCAGCAAAAGTTCAAAATAATGGCTGACTCCAACCCAATCCAAATAGAAAATCTAATAATAGAACACCTCAAAATGATTGAAGACAACCACAATGAAGGAGAACAAAGGTGGTTCCGTATGTTGATCGAAGATGATGCAACAAATATAGCATCAGAACTGGTAGAATTAAGAGCAATAGTAAACATTATACATGTGGTGTAAATTATTTTGCTATTGACTCAATTCCCAAAATCCTCAAAAATAATTGCGTCATGGCTCAATTATTTATATGTTTTAATAGTGACTCAATTAATTGCATCAAATAATTGCATCAATTGCGTCAAGGATTTACAAATTTCAGCAACATGTATAGTAAACATTACAGTCATAGATACAGTAGTGGCAAAACTTCTTAATGTCAATTTACATACAGCCGTAAAATGGATGTTGGCTAAAAAATACATCAAACAAATCTGAGCGTTCAATCAATTAGACATGAACATATTAAACAGATACATACTGGAAGATTCACAAGTGTCCCAGATTGTAGATATTCTATATTCAGGACAAGATCCATAATATGTATAAGACAAAGACCCAGAAACCACATTATCTTCAGAACAACCTGAAACAAGAAATTACAACCACAACTATCAATAAGAGTTAGTTGAAAGGAGTAAAGAAAACATGTCAGAAAATTACATTAATCAAGAAGATGTAATAAAGCAGGTAAACAAAGAACAACAAATACCAGAAGTCATCATGAATGAACAAACCTCTGGAAACATAACTGAAAACCAGGAAACACATGTCCCAGAAATAGTCATGAAAGAGCAATCTCCCTCAGATGAAGACCCTGATATGCTAATACTTATTTCTGATCCACTGGAAGACATAAGAGCAAAGGAAGACTACACAACAAGAAACAGAGTCTTCCACCCAACAAACCCTCATTATATTTGTAAAAAAGGAACATACAAAGTGAAAACTCTAATAGCAAACACACCAGAAAAGAATCAGGAAGAACAGATCAAGTATCTTGCAAACATCTTCAAGCTCTCTGCCAACAAATACAATCTAATTCAACCATACTTCCACAATGGAAATGAATGGTACACAATCCACTTTCATCATGAAAAAGACAGATCGGCATGCATCAGCAAATTTAAAAACAAAGAGGATTTTGAACTGATCGCAATACAGAACCCAAATCTCAATTAAGACAACAAAGCTAGCAAAAAAACTGAAAATATCAAACACAGCATGCCAGAGGAAAATCAAAGTCACAACAGTTCTAACTTATTCAATTTAACTAACAAACAAGGTAGAGTACAACTTCAAATTAAATGCAACCCTCTCCTCCAAACCAGCAGAGAAAAACAACTATAAGAAATAGCCAACATGTTTCAAGTACCTATCGAACATGAGGGAATTCAAGTTCTGGCAATAGGAAAAAACAAATGGATAAGTTTTGGTTTCAACAAAACAATAGATGCTTATAGGTGTAAACAATAGCTATTGAAACACATACAATCACAAGACATAATTTTGAATATCACTAAGAACCTCAGTCCAGATGAAGAAACACTATTAGAAAGCTCATCAGCTTCAGAAAGTTCAGAAGGTTCAGAAACTGCAAAAACTTCAGAAACTACCGAACCAATACTAGATCAATACATACTTATAGATATTTCAGTATACACTTCACCCAAAAAAGTACGAGATGTTCTTAGTAAATGAGTAATTATTTTCAAAGGTAGACCGGGAATTTTCTGGCGTGATCTTAAATTTATATTATATATTTATTGTTTAAAAGTTGGGTTCGAAAAA